TGTCATTAACAGTCGCACTGATGTATCCAATACGGTTTATTTTTTTTCGCATTCTTAACACATATGTCCCCCGGACACCGCAAACGTTGAATGAGAGACATTTGAGTGAAATGATTCCCAGTGCTTTTTACCAAGTGACTATCAAATGGTACAGCATGTTTGGTACAAAATGCTAGATGACCTATCAAGCCAGGTGATTTCTCAAAATAGACTATCGCCAGTAACGAGGTAATAAGAAAAAAGACCAGTCCTCTATGGTGGAAAAGAAGATCGATTAGTCTAATGCCCGGTGCAAAACTTCAACTCGGCAGAAAAACTCGCATCGTACTGAACAGATTGAAGAATATCTTGTTATATGGGTTACAAGGTGGGAACAGATTTGGTCATTCCTTGCGTGCCATGTCGTAATCATTCTGACTTCTACACAGATCAGTAATACTAATCACATGAAATTTGTAACTCCTGAATAAGTTATTGGTCATAATCCCCCCCCCCCCCGAAATGGGAACGCACTCGAATGAGATAATACGCCTGGGTACGGGCTTCTTCGCCCTCCGGTGGAGCCATTAGGGCGGTTAGAATTTCGTATCTGAAAGGAAAACCAATGGAATGGGGGTTCCGTGAGTGCGAGTAGCCAGTGAACACTTGCCGTACAACCAACAATAACAATAAAGGGTAGAAGATGAAACTGTGAGGATTTACCGCTGAGCGGGAATTTTAGTTTTCTGTAAACGATGGAAAAGAAAATCGAGGTCCGTGTGAAATATGCAACCGTGTGCATGTGAAACAAAATCAGTTGAACATTACACCGATTCGCAAACTACCCTCAATCATTTAATGGTCAAATATCCATTGAGCAAGGCCATCATCAATCCTAAATGAAATCCAGATATTGATTAGTGAGATATAGCTTGATCGCTTCGCTGGCCCAATTACAATGCCAAAACCGTCAACCAGAGCATCAGACTTGTTTGAAAATTTGAAAATATAAAAGCATATCAATACGGAATAAATTAGAAAAAGCAGGTGAAACTGTCCCACGAATTAGCTTAAATGTTGATGTGGATGCTTTCAAAATTTTATCCCATAAATAAACAAGAAAAAACATTTTGCTAATAGAAAAGTAAAATACAGGTTTTTACAATGTATCCTGGATCATTGCGCAGAATCGTTACACGTGCGTACTGCAGTTTATGTGATCAATAATCTATGGAACACATTGTAGGCGAACATATGTTTTCGGTGAATTTTTTTCAAGCCTTTACAATCACATTTATATGAAACAAGTTCGATAATGTCAAACAAAAAGGTGAATGACTCATGTGTTCGGTAATGAGCCCAAGAGAACTCAAAATTTGTGCGCAGTTTGGATCACATAACCAAAGTGGTTACGTCATGGTCGTGTGAGCGATTTTCCCTTCTTTGGCCAGGGGAGTTTGAGAGCTTGAATCAGTTTGCGTTGTGCACACAGCTCGGGCTTCATGAGTCGGATACTAATCACCTCTGCGGCTGCTAACGCCTGAAACCGTATTGCTCTCGAGGGGTGTAGTGAAACTCGATAGATGATTGTAAATGCTGAGCGCATGTCAACCAAGTGTCCCGTCTCTACCGGATGAGCAATGATCGAGCTTGACACAGCTCCACTCTGATGGCCAATTTGTAACTGGTTTGGGTTCAAGTTCAGCCCGATTCGTCTACCTTTTCGATCGGTAATCACTTTAGTAACCGGTTATACAAAACTACTAATCGGATATTTCTGATATGTAACTACAATATCTTCCGAATTTATTGTGGTTTATCATATTGGTATTATTATAATCATTATTATTATCAGAGAATAAAAAAGGAACAATATAAGTTCTTTCAAATGAAGTCTACAAGTATTATTATATTTTACACTTGTCTGAGGCCAGACTGTGTCAAACAAATCATGGTAAAATAATCTTTATAAAAAAGTAGTCTATAAACCAAATTTTGTCATTGTTGAAGCGTTTCAATCTATTGGAAAGGCACTGTGCTCATTTAGGGAAGGAGATAAGGTCAGGTGCATAATCCGCTGCACACTGCACACTGCGCACAAGAAGAAGTGTACATGGAATCTGAATAAGCCTAGCATACGGGATTAATTACCGTTTGATCAATTTATCGATTTTTGACCTTCTT